TTGTATAATGCGATTTAGCGGTGTTTGTTCGTAATTTTATTTTTTTGGTAACAATGTAAATATTACAATTAACAACAAAAAAAAACAATATACCTAGTTACAGAGCACCTAAAATTCCATAGCCACATTCCTCAAAGGGTACTATGAAATATTTGTATGACTTCTGAGTTTTTCCATGGTTATAGTAAAGTTAAGTAAATAAATATTTGTAGTCATATTAAAATCTAAAATAGAAACTTATCTATTATAACCAAAAAGTCATAAATGGGTGTGTTCATAAAAATTCAAAAAACCAAACCAAACCGATCAAAAAATCAATACTTTTTGGTTTGGTTTGGTTTTGGTTTTGAATTCTAAAAATCGATCAAATTTGGTTTGGTTTTAGTTTTAATAAATAAATAATCGAAAAAATCGAACAAAACCGACTATAGAAGTAGCTATTAAAAATTTATTGTTACACTTATATATATATNTCTGAAAATTTATGGTACATGTTAATCGTTTTCACTTTAAGCCTAGTTCTTTGCTATTATAATAATCTAGTTCTTTTTTGTCTTTACATTCTAGTTTGATTGGTAGTTTTCTTTCGCTAGTTAAGTACAAGAATCTATTTTATGTTAGAAATAATCTATTTTTAATTGAGTTGTCGGAATATTTGTTTAGCAGTGTATATCTCAAATTTAAGAAAAAAATGATAAATAATCGTAAAAATAGAAAAAACGACAAAAACCGAATCGATAAAAAAACTGATTTAATTGGTTTGGTTTCGTTCCATTGAAAAATCGACTTATTTGGTATTTTTTAATTTTTTTTTAAAAAAAATCGATCCAAACCGAACCATGAACACCCTTAGGTCATAAATTTATCTTTAATTTTTCACGTTCAAGTAATCAAACTATGTGTGTGGATTATTTACAAATTAAAAAAAAAAAAGGTAAAACGAAAATGCATAACCTATAGCTCTAAAAATTGGGCACAAAAAGTTCAATTTTACGTTTTTTGTTTCGACCAGAGCATAGGAATAGTTTATGAGTCAACATTATGAGGACTAAGTTCAGACTTAATATTGTAAGTTGTCGTTCATTGCATGTTCTTGCTCGAATTTATTTATAAAATATTTTGCGTAATTGATTAAATTTCCTTTTGTAGCACTAATTCTTTTAAGGATACGCTTTAGCCACTATCCAAAGTAATTATTCCAAGATCATGCCTTTTCATTCAAATATTAATCCAAAATCTACAAGATCCTAACAAATCAACTCAATGCATCTCCAATAATTATTCAAACATTCCGAAAATCAACAAGAAAAGCAATTTCAAACTTTGCCTTTTTAATTCTTCATCACCAACCTAACGTATCTAACCCATTCCATCAAATTCATTCTCACACGCAAACTTTTTCCTAATACGTTTCAACTCTTTTATGGACTCTTTTATGAACCATAGCTAAATGTACGACGTTGATTGACCTCTCTCCTACAATTTCCACGTGTTTCGAGTAGAAATTCACTAATATTGACCCCTCTAGAAACTATTTTTAGCACATCTTCTATTATGGTTAAGACAATGATCAAACTTTCCTATGTATTATAGTCTTGGAGTCAACAGTGTGGTTAGTAATTTCTATAGAGGTGTTTAAATTTGAAAGAATTGAAAAAAAATTTCAATAAAGGGTGTTCAATGTGTTATATACCTCTAAAACGTAATATTTTACTTATGTACACAGTGCAATTTTTCGACGTAGAGTGGTCAATTGACCACCCTTATGACCATGTGGCTTCGCCACTGGTTATTATAGGGGCTAGGAGCAATGATAAAATTGTCTTCGTGTGACTTATAAATCACAAGTTCGAGCTGAGGAAGCAGCCACTAATGCTTGCTTGTATTAGAGCAGACTCTCTACATCACACCTTAAGGTGCATGTGATCCTTTCTCGAACCCTAGGTGAGCATGAAATACTTAGTGCATCGTGTTGTCCTACCAACGATGATCAATACTTAAAAGGCTCAAACATCATATTCAACAAATTTTAGGAGTGTAACTCGTCGAGTTTATGATGACGTCGATTATATATCATTGATTACAATTATTCAAAGGCATTTCTTGAAAAGAGGATTGGCATCGATAAGTTATTATGAATATAAAATAATTAAGGTATTAGGAGTCCAACCGATGTCACGTGATTTTAAATTTACAAAATTAAGTTATTTTACCAACAATAAATAGTCCCACAAGTAGAATCTGGGGATAATAGAGTGTACACATACCTTATCCCTACCTTAAAGAAGGTAGATGGATCGTTTCCTGTAGAGTGTAGACCCTCGGCTCAGAAAATTAAGCTACTTTACCATTAGTAAAAAATGTTGTCTATAATAGTCATATTATTAGAAAAGTTTCATTTTTGCTGTTGACTTCCTAACGGAACTCCTGAGTATGGGTGTCAATGGTTCGGTTCGGCCGGTTATTTTATAAAATTTATACCATATCAATTTTTCGGTTATTCTATTATGTATAACCAAAATTAAACTTTTTGAAACCGTCTCAATCATGTCGGTTTCTCTTCGGTATCGGTACGGTTCGGTTAATTTTCAGTATTTTTTAAAATTTCATGTAAAAGTCACTAGTAAAAATAGAATACAATAACGTTCATACTTTTATAAGACTTAGCAAAACTCTCTAGATATTTTTACTGTTTAAATGGTCATGAATTATGAAAACACGAAAGATGGCCAGCGTATAGATCCATCAACTACTCTCCGTTGCGTAAAAGAAACTACGCAAAGACAAAGAAAAGATAAATCACACAAGTAGAGAGATATTAACCAAGTTGGGAGTCAAGAATAAAGTCTATAAAAGATTAAATATTCAAAAAGATAAATCTAAATCATGCGAAAGGAAACATATTCAATACATTGTAGTTTGCTACTCATAATCGTTAGAATACTTTATGTCTTTCTAGTGAATATGGTGGAAATAATTTAGTTTCAGTAGGAGTAGCATAATAAGTTTGGGAATTAGGATTTTGATCTTAATTACTTGTTGGCTTGTAATCATTTTCATAATTCCAAGACCCAAGGAAAAATTTAGTACTTTATTATTTTTAAACTTAATATATAAATATATTTTATATATGTAAATTTATTCAGTACGGTTCAGTATTTTTCGGTTTATTTTCATAAAATAAAAAATATACCCTAATTATCAGTATTGTTGTAAATTTATATAAAAACCTACGATTCTATTAAAAGAAACCTAAAAATCGGTTCGGTGCGGTACGGTTCGATCGATTTAGTCGATTTTTAAATATCCATTGACACCCTCCTCACAATTTCTACGGCATTTAAAAGTAAATGTTTAATTTTATACACCACAAATTTCAGGTAATTAAGGCCAAATAGGTGTACGGCCCCTTAAACTTGGCTCCAGTTTCCATTTTGATACCTTTACTAAGCCTATTACCTATTGAACACTTTAAACCAAATCAATGTATGCCTATTAAACACAAAAACGGACATGGCAAGAGAGTTGTATTTCACCCCCTCTTACGCGAGTGAATTTAATGGGTTTGAGATCATTTTTTTTTGGTTTAAATCAAAATTGACTTTTTTTTCTAAAGGCCACCCATAACCACCTGATCCTCGACAAGTAACGAAAGCAGAATAAGAATGATAATAAATTTTATTGCCGGAATTAATGGAGATCGCCGGAAAAGTCAGAACTCCGGCCAGGTCCAAAGAGGCGACAAGCAACAGTAATATGTTATCAAGGTTTTAACATTTACACACCAACCACGAAATCAGTAATAGACAGAACACGAACGAATCTCCAATTACACAATGATGGAAGATCAGAAATGGTGATAAATGTCGCCGATTTTAATGGTAGCCCCCGAAATATTAAATGTCCGGTTACTTCTTTCAGTTCTGCTCTTTTATCAGTTAAAACAACAACAAAATATAATAATAGAGATGAAGGAGGAAAGGAAATGAGCAATGGCCGGTGGTTGCTAGAATCGCCAGATTCTTTTTTGTTTCTTCCCTTTTTTTCTCAACTTGGATTTTTTCTTCTCCAGCTAGCTAAAAGAAGGATTTTCAACCCAAAAAAGAAAGAAAAAAATTTGACATAAATTTCTCCCTTCCCCAGATCTGAAAATCCAAAAACGGTACCTGCATTTTTTCCTTTTGGCAGATGAAAACGGTAGTCTTCTGGTGGTTGAAGAGCCAAGAAGATTGGGAAGGCGAATGTGGGTTTCTATGGAAAGGGACTGGGGGGATTCCATGAAATGAAAAAAGAAAGGGGGTGGTTGGGAAGAAGGTGACAATGGGAGTGGGGTATTTAAAATAAATCTTTTTTATTTTCAAAACTTCTTTTTGACTATTTGGACCCAAATGTCACGTGTCTCCCTCTTATTTGTCATTTTGCTAAGTCATTCATGTGTGAATTACACACACCTTATTGTTTTTACTGGTTATGAGTAAAGTATTCAATAGATCACTTTATATAATATTAAAATGTTCAATAGGAAAAACGCTAAGTTAAAGTATCAAAATGGAAACTTGAGGCAAGTTTAAGGGCGTACACCTATTTGGCCGCTAATTAATGTTAAAGGAAGAGAGAGAATCCGCTACAATTGTGATATGATCTCTCTTCTACAACTGCCACATGTTCCATTTATAATAAGTCGACAAATATGCTAAAGATGTTTAGCACGTGTATAATAGTTATTGGATGAAGTAATGATGTGCACATGGGAAACATGATACGATTAGTTCTTTCTTGGAATTTTACGGCCACGCCAAGTTTTGTTTAAGACACTTCTCTTACGTTACTGAAATGACAAAATTACCACTACTGTAGACTAGTTCAACGCTTGGTCTAAATTCAGCCAAATATAAGTTAATAGAGGGACGCAACAGTCATTTTATACTTATTTGTCGTTACGTGGTGAAGTGCTCATATTCACATTCGAGAAGTCGCTTTTGATCAAACAAATAAAAATGCAACTATTTTTTCTCCTTAAATTTTATTCCTCTCTTAGAATCCAGCTCTTTCCATGAAAAATCTTCCTTAAAAATTCTCCTTAATTCTCTTCCATTGTCTCCTCCTTTTTCCCATTAAAAAAATTTAAAATTAGTATCTGCTTTTGGAGCTCCGGCGGTTTTGTTTTTTCCGGCGGTGGCGATGTTGTCGCTGCAAACCGATCCTCGGCAGTACAATCATCAGCAGCAGCAACAGCAAAATCAGCTGCTGATGATTTCTAGGGTTCCGTCGTATGATGGTGGCGTTACCGCTGGTGATCAGAGGATTGATTCCTCTTTTCCGTTTCAGTCTGAATCCGCATTGCCTTTCGCTAGTATCAAGTCCGAGTTGTCTCGTGAAGGTCAGGCTTATACCTTTTGTTTTTAAATGTGTAAACTTTAAAATTTGTTTGGAAGAAATTTATTGATTGAAAATCGGAACGGAGTATTTATATTCCTACATGTATATGTATTTAGTACTCAATTTCATATGAGGAAGATTACAATTTTTTGTACTTTTTTTTTATTTTTAAGAATTTTCAATGAGATAATTAATTTTTAATTCGGAGGGATATATGTTAGTTTGTACATAGAGATTTTCTTAATTTTTTGCTTGGTTAAAGGCTATGAATTTGTTTGCTATTCAATGTTCTGTGTTTAATTGGTTATTTTCACAAAAGGATGGTCTTTTTTGCATGACTAGTCATCTTGATTCGCAAAAGAAACATTTTTGCATTGTCTTGTTGTCTAATTGAAGTTGCTATATCTCTTGTGGTTCTTATGCATAGCTTATTTAGCTCACGACCTGGCTTTAGCTGGGTTTCAAAGCTTAAGCACGCCTGTAACGAGCCTTTGACAATAGTCAGAAGAGCCTCAATTTAATGATATCTCGATATATCTCAAGCATTGTTGAGGAAAGACTAGCATAAGCAAATACAGATAGAAGAGGGAAGACTCCAACTTGTCTATAGCAAATAAGAGATTATTTTCTCACCTGGAAGCCGCCGTACTAACAACCTATGTTGAATTATTAAAATCTCTAGAAACCAATGTAGGTTAGCTAAGAAAATGAAATAGAAGCAAATGATCTGTAAAGAGGTGGGATTACATAATGCAGGCATAAAGTGGGGGAAGTGTGAGGTCTAGCGAACCGCTGATTCTTAAAATGGATTTTAGTATTGGAATTGACCTGAATAAAGTGAAGGGGTATAGATAGAGGATACATCCAATGGATTTGTGATTAAAGTTTCGCTAACTGATGGGTTGATACTCTACCTATTATCTATGATGACTTCGATAAAAAATTGGTGTACTTTGTCTAAGTAAAGCTAGTGCACTAGACTGTTAAAAACTGTTACTAATTCGGGAGGTAAGTATCAATGTGTAGTAAATAGGGGAACATAATACATTTTATAGTATGATAGTGTTTTGTTAAACCTTCTGAACCTAAATTACTGAATATTAATCTGTTCTGTGATACCAAGAACCTAAAGGATGTGAGAGTTGAGACTCTGCCATGCTGCCAACAAAAAAAATATCCAGAAAAGGAATAATTCCTTAACAAGACATGGAAAAAGATAGAGAAAGGAAAGGGGAGTTGTTGATTTGTGCCACATGAATTAGAAGATATTTAACCTGGCATCGGTAGATGTCTTCGAATAGCTTAGTTTTGATATATCTTACCGATTGTATTTGTTTTAGGTCATGCAGTCAGCTGTTAGCCAAATACTAGTAATTGCCTTATGTACTGAGGATTGCTATTAGGATCAATTTCTGACATCTCTATTTATTTGCAACAGTAGATGAGGACGCTCTTTTAACTCTTGCTCATCAGAACTACAAAGCTGGGAACTATAAACAGGCACTAGAGCATAGCAAGGCAGTTTATGAGAGAAATCCAGGGCGCACTGATAATCTTCTTCTTTTTGGGGCTATATATTATCAGGTGAGCTTTCCTGGATGGTCCGTACATTTGCTGTGATTTCTTTATCTTGCATTTTTTTTAAAAAAAATTTCAATAAGTTTTTTATTTTTTTTTTACTTTCTTTTCGATGAGATTTGCGGATCTGAAGTAAAGCATGTTACCATTTCTTTGTTTTAGTTGCACGATTTTGATATGTGCATTGCAAAGAATGAAGAAGCCCTAAGGATCGACCCACATTTTGCTGAGTGCTATGGAAATATGGCGAATGCTTGGAAGGTATGATTCTACTAACTCATCTAGAAGCTGCTTCTTGTGGTTTTGGAATTGAGCATTGATAAAGTTTTGCTGGTGCAGGAAAAAGTCAATATTGATGTTGCAATACGCTATTACTTAATTGCAATTGAGGTTTGTATACTTCTTCTGTCTTACATGAATGTATCAAGAGCTTTTCATTTCTGCTCTTATCAATTAGAAGAAAGGTGAAATGGTTGAAGAAAGGTCGAAGCTAATGTTGTGATTTGGAAGAGTAACCAACAAACTCCACATAAGTATAAAAAAGCTCCATCTGATAACTTCCAATTAAGATGTGAATTTACACTCGGTTACATGACATATGTATTATTGATCTAGTAAAGAATTATGTCTCTTACTACAAGCAAATGGTTACATGTGATCTGGAATAGAGTAACCAACAGCATTCATTTAAGAATTTAAATGGTACCATGTGATAACTTGTGAATCTTTGATGCAGAAGAATGCAGGTCAAAGTTGTGAATAGATTGCTTTGTAAAGGAACGTATGTCTAGCTTAGACAGTTATCCTTGCCTTTACTTTTATGTTGGGTACTGAAAGAACTTTTTGGTTGAGGTTATGCGGGCAGTTTTGGAGTCACAATGGGGTTGTAGGTCTAATGCACTTGAGTTTATTCACAAAACCTTGGAGCTTATTGCTTGCAATTCCTTTCATCTCTCAAGTTCGTGTTATTTCAAAAAGTTGCAAATTTTTAAAATATCTGTTTCTCTGCCGTTTGTCTTTTCATTATCTTTGATTAACTAAAGCCTTTTTACGTGGTAGCTTTCTCCTATAAGATATTTATTGTTTGCCAGGTTTATGCTAGGTAATTTGACTTTAAATTGTCTGGTTGCAGCTCCGTCCCAATTTTGCGGATGCATGGTCAAATTTAGCCAGCGCATATATGAGGAAAGGAAGGCTGAATGAGGCAGCCCAGTGTTGCCGCCAGGCTCTAGCATTAAATCCACGTTTGGTACTAATAAATTGAACTCTATAAACGATTAGTTATGTGCTTCTTGCAATCGTACTTTCTTTATTGACTATGATTCTTTTAGGTTGATGCTCACAGCAATCTCGGCAATCTGATGAAAGCACAAGGTCTAGTCCAAGAGGTAAGATAGAGAGGATTTCAATCCACTTTGTGCTCTTCTATTTTGTTGCCTGTGATGGGCTTTTAAGTTCACGAGTGCCTTTTGNCGTTCTTCTTTTATTCTGGATTTTTACTTGCTTTGTGCAGCTTTGTGAAAATTCTCTGTGCTTATTTTAATGACTATTGGCGTATCTTGTTGTTATGCTTTTGTGTGTCGTTTTTCCCCCCTTTTCTCGATAGATATATCCTGTTGAGTTCCTTGTCCTTTGAGTATTTCTTTTTTTTTTTTGGGTAGGCATACAATTGTTATGTTGAAGCATTGCGTATACAACCTACATTTGCCATCGCATGGTCCAATCTTGCTGGCCTTTTTATGGAGGCAGGTGATCTTAACAGGGCTTTGCAGTACTACAAGGTATGAATAACTTTAAATCATAGTGTACTTGGATTTACTGATCCTAGTGTTGGATTTGTTTTGCATCTGACTGCAATCATGTTTGATTCCCTTTTTGTGGTTTAATCTCCTTCAGGAAGCGGTCAAACTAAAACCGAACTTCTCAGATGCGTATCTGAATCTGGGAAATGTATACAAGGTAAGCCTCATGCATTGTGCTAATTGGGTCCAGTGGCTTCGAGTGCCTGGACGAGGATATGGAGAAATACAAGCATCTTCTTTGCATTTTCCAGGCTTTGGGAATGCCCCAGGAGGCCATTGTGTGTTATCAGCGTGCGCTCCAAGTACGACCAGACTATGCCATGGCTTTTGGTGAGTTCCCTGGTTTTAGTCCTGCCTTAAATTCAGCTCATGATGCATAAATAAAGCTGCCTGTCTCTGGGAGACTGTTTAAACAGCACACATCTTTACTCAGAGATGTCCGTGCGCAGGATTTATTGCAATATGAAAGACACTGTTTTCATCTTCAGTGCGATTTTCTTTTTTCCCTTCAGTGCGACTTGGACACCCTAATAACACATTAACAGCTGGATCTCCTCTCTGCAGGCAACTTAGCTAGTGTGTACTATGAACAAGGAAATATGGAAATGGCAATACTTAACTACAGGAGAGCTATTACTTGTGATGCTGGATTCTTGGAGGCATATAACAATTTGGTTAGATTTTTATCATATCTTAGTCCATACAAATCCTATCTTCACTTTACATTTCTTTCAATTTAATGCTATATGCTCTCCAAAAATGTTGCTTATAGGGTAATGCTCTGAAAGATGCTGGTAGAGTGGAGGAAGCAATTCATTGCTATCGTGTAAGCTGTGTTCCGTTGTTGGTTGGGCGTGTCTTTTCTTTTGTGTTGCTTTTGTGCTGCTTTTTAAACTTTTTTGATGATGCATGCAGCAATGCCTCTCTCTTCAACCTAGCCATCCGCAAGCACTGACCAATCTGGGAAATATTTATATGGAGTGGTAAGGTTTGCTTAGTCAGAAAGATTCTCTTCTTAACTCTTTCAATTAAGTAATGAGTTGCTATTCCTACTCTGTAGGAACATGATGAGTGCCGCTGCACAATGTTATAAAGCAACTTTGGTTGTGACAACAGGGCTCTCAGCTCCTTTGAACAATCTAGCCATAATATACAAGCAACAGGTAAATATTTAATCTTTACTTCCGTAGGATGCTTAATTTTTGAGTCAGTAAAAAAGTTTTCTGGAGGTTTTTATACAATAAATATTTAAGATAGTCGAGGGATTATTTTATATACAACTACTAATGCCCTTCCTCTGTCAGGTTTTTAACTAACATGAACTTTTCCTTCTTATGTGATGTAACTTTCAGGGTAATTATGTAGAAGCCATATCTTGCTACAATGAGGTACTCAGGATTGACCCAATGGCAGCTGATGGACTGGTCAATAGGGGTAACACATACAAAGAGATTGGTAGGGTTAATGAAGCTTTACAAGACTACATGCGTGCTATTTCCATTAGGCCTGCTATGGCAGAGGCTCATGCAAATTTGGCTTCAGCTTACAAGGATAGGTATGTTATTAACGGTTGATGGTCCCGTTTGTTTGTGTTCCTACCTGTCCACTCTGCTTGATCATAATGTTTTTTTTTTTTTTTTTTTTTTTTTTTNCTCCCCCACTGCCAAATATGGGAGGTGGCAGGAACGGCAGCCTGAGGGTTGGGTAAGTTTCTATAAGCTGATTTATACTTGGTTGCTTTTCCTGAGGTCGACATCTGCTATAGGCTGTTTGTAAACATTACTGCCTGCTAATAAATTTTTTAAAATGGGTCTAGATATGTGAGCAGTGATTTCGGCAACCACCCACTATCGCATCTAATGGGTTCAGTTTTTGGGATGCATGACAAAGAGAATGTTGAGGTTCAGACAATTTGTTGCTTTTTCTAATCTTTTGCACCATTCACGACTTCGTCTCTTATTCATGCTAAATCTGCTGGTACTTCTTTTCCTAGGTGTTCTGCTATGCTTTAAGTCCAAATGATGGTACAGAGTGGAGGATTCGCACCCAGACAGAAGCGGAGCATTTTATTGATGTGTCATCCTTGTCATCTGATGTGATAGCGAGGATGATTAATGAGGATCAAATACAGATACTTATCAACCTTAATGGTTATACCAAGGTACACATTGGACTCAATCCAGATCAATCTTAATTGGATTTTATATTTGTTTTTTTTAGTGTTGTTTGTGTGTCCTCAACCATGCTGGCGCCCAATTGCTTGGCCCATTAACATAAAGAAACAAAATAAAGGGGGAAAGGAGCTGCCTTTTCTTGGAAATAGTGCACAATAAACAAATAAATCAATGATTTCTTCTGTCTTTTACTTAGCTTAGTTGTAGACGTAAATCTAAACTCGAATAAATCCCGATGAGTGTTTGGGTAGCCATGGCCTCCCTTTTGCTGTTTTGAGCAATGAGTACTATAAGGAGATTGCCTAACGAAACTGCAAACCTGCGAACAGGTCTCATGAGGTCACATTTGTTGGTATATATTATATATTTGTTGTTTGACGCGAACATTGCACGTGTTACATCTTTCACCTGTTCTAATTTCCTCATAATGTGCACATTCTTTGCTTTGCCTTCTTTGCTGAAAGGTGTTTTTCTTTTTTGGTATGACTTCAATTATCTAATATTATCATCTTTGACTTTGGAATGTTGTATTGCAGGGGGCGAGAAATGAGATATTTGCCATGCAGCCCGCTCCAATCCAGGTTTCATACATGGGGTTTCCTGGAACCACAGGGGCAAAGTACATAGATTATTTGGTTACAGATGAGGTAATTTGCTAGTGACTCCTTTGATATTATATTTGCTGTTGACCTTTTCTCTTTATGGGGTCCTTGAGTGTAATTTCCCTATATGCAGTTTGTTTCACCTACGAAGTACGCGCATATTTACTCAGAAAAGCTTGTACATCTCCCTCATTGCTATTTTGTCAATGATTATAAGCAAGTAAGTTTTCCTCACTCAAGTTTCTGATATCAATCGTGTTTCATTCAATCCAACAATGAATCAAGTATGCCTCAATCCCAAATAGTTGGAGTTGGCTATATGACTCAAGTCTCCTTTTCGCTCTACCTAGGTCATTCGATTCAAATACTAGATAATATTTAGTTATTTATGTAATTTATTATGAATAAAATATGAGTGATTTTTTTTTTTTTTTTTAAAAAAGAGATCTCAGCTTCTATCTATGTTGAAATCTTCTGGTTTTATATTTTTCACTGCTGTTGAGTGTCTTGCTGCTGCTCTTTGTAGAAAAACCGTGATGTGCTAGATCCAACCTGCCAACCGAAGCGCTCAGATTATGGACTGCCCGAGGATAAATTCATATTTGCATGTTTCAATCAGCTCTACAAAATGGACCCTGAGATTTTTATAACTTGGTAGTTACTGGATTGATTTAAACTGTTCAGCTGTTACCTTCTCAAGCACTTGCGGTAAACTTGTTGAATTGGATTGTTGCAGGTGCAATATCCTCAAGCGTGTACCGAATAGTGCTCTTTGGCTTCTGAGGTTTCCAGCTGCAGGGGAGATGAGGCTCCGCGCACGTATGTATTTAAGTTTCTCTTNCTTCCACATTGTGTGCATTTCTCAAAGTTTCTCTTATGAAACTTTTGAAACTTCATATCTAGGGAACCTGTTTATTAGTTTATGAGAAGTCTCCCTAATTCAGCTCATTTATTCCAGATGCTGCTGCACAAGGCCTGCAACCGGACCGAATTATTTTCACAGATGTTGCAATGAAACAAGAGCACATCAGGCGCAGCTCCTTGGCTGATCTTTTCCTTGACACGTATGAAGATTAAGAAGATTCAGCATCTTGCTTTCTAGGAATCCAGTTCCATTCATCTCATGTTCTTGAATTTTGGGTTTTTTTCACTTTTAGGCCTCTATGCAACGCACATACCACAGGAACAGATGTTCTCTGGGCTGGTCTACCAATGATAACCCTTCCCCTTGAGAAGATGGCTACTAGAGTTGCTGGTTCCCTGTGTGTGGCCACAGGACTTGGGGATGAGATGGTTGTCAGCAGGTAGGTGTTCTAGACTTGTTATGATTTTTATGTCTCTCTCTCTCTCTCTCTCTCTCTCTATATATATATATATATATATATTTAATTTAG